ACATGATCTCACTGATTTGCGGATTATAATGAACAACATAAACTGATGAACAAAAACAGATCCAGAGACAGAGAAGCATGGATCAGACCGTCAAACCTCAGAGGGAAGGTAGGGGAGGGTGGGGTAAGGGGTAGAGGTCAACCAAAGGACTTGTATGCATGCATATAAGCATAACCAATGGACACAGACACCAGGGGGTGAGGACATGAACAGGAGTGGGGTGGGGTGGGGGCAATGAGGGGATAAGGACACATGTGTAATACCTTAATCAATCAAAAAAAAATTCCAAGTAGTTTTCTTTTTTGATTACCATTCCGCCTAGAAAACTTTCTTTAGCCATCCTTCAAGGGTAGATCTTCTAGTAACAAATTCTCTTTGTTTTTCTTCATTTGAGACTATCTTTATTTCCCCTTCATTCCTGAAGTTTTGTTACTGGATGCAGACTTTGCAGTTGACATAGTTTTCCTTTTCAGCACATCCTTTTGACTTCTGTAGTTTCAGATTAGAAATCTGATGTCATTTAATTTGGTTTTCCCCTCTAGGTAATGTGTCATTTCTCTGTTTGCTTTTAAGATTTTTTTTTTTTTACCTTTAGTTTCAGAAGTTTAATTATAATGTGTCTTGGTGTGGATTTATTTGAGCTTACCCTATTTGGGTTCACTTAATTTCTTGAATCTGCATATGTAGATAGTCATTTCACTATTTCTTGGGGAACAGGACTAGCCTTGCTTCTCCCTCCTTGCTCAGTCTCTTTGCTGCTAGGCGGCTGTGGAGGTTCAGCATCCAGTCCATACCAAGGGTGAGGGAAAGTGGAGTGCTGACTAGCTCAGTCTCATTGATGCTGGGTGAGGATGGAAGTTAAACTCCTCGTTGAGCTCTTCCATCACACTGGTAAAGAAGAGGCCAGGGGATTGTCAAGGGCGGGGGAAAAAAGGAAACATATGTAATACCCTTTGTAATACTTTAAGCAATAAAACTAAAAAAAAAAAAAGAAGAGGAAGGGGGTGAAGCAGAGTGGTGATTAGCACCTCCTCCAACAATCTCCTTGTTGTCAGCTATGGGTGGAGGCTCCACTCACTCTGAAATTACAATGAGACTACTCCTGCCTGGGAATCAGGGTACAAAACCTGCTTCTGCCTTATTGAGAATGGAAAATCAGCTTTCCACTTGGCCCCACTGAAAGAGTTGGAGTGAGGAGAGGTAGGATGGTTTTTCTTTAAGTGTTTGGCTCAAGTAGGATGAGTATTGCAAAAAAGGATTCCCTGACCTGGCCAACCGGTGTGATTCAGTGGTTGAGTGTTGACCCATGTGCCAAGAGGTCATGGGTTCGATTCCTGGTCAGGGCATGTGCCTGGGTTTTGTTTTCAGTGAGAGGAATGCAGGAGGCAGCCAATTGATGTTGATGTTAATTTCTCACCAATGTTTCTATCTCTCTCTCCCTCTCCCGTCCTCTCTCTCTCAAAAATCAATAAAATAAGGTTCCCTATTGTTAGTTCTCCCTTTTCCAGATCCTTTGCCTATGGGAGATATTTCTTGGAGTTTTTATTACCTGTGCCTGTTGAAGGTTCTGGTTTGGAGCTTCTGCAACTCCCTGTCTGGGATATATGGGATACAATAAAGAAACTCAGGAAACCCACCACCCTGTCTTTTCTCAAATTCTGAGATCCTTAGTCTTTCCACCACTCAGAGACTTCATTTTATTTGTTTGCTGTGCTATGTCCAGGGGATATTTTTAGTGGTAAGAGTGAGGACCTGGAAGGAATAGGGGTGTTCTCTCTTTGCCAGAACTGGAAGTTTCCCTTCCTATATCTCCACCACATTTTGGAAAGTTATAATACACATCCTCCACTACATAATATGCAATGCAGACATAAGGGCATTGCATGATGACTTGGGGGATGATATTAAGTATGTAAGAGATTGCCACTCTATTATTTGTGATACCACAACTCCCAGAGCATGCAAGTCCTCTTTGTTCTTCTGAATCCTGGGTTTGGGTATTATCATCTAATGAGACCTGAGAGGAATATAGAGCACGTTTCCTTGTTTTTCTAAACCAAATTACATCTGAGTCTCAATTGCACACACCTGACTGGTAGAAAGTCTAATATCAGTAATTGCAAGGGTTCCTCCCCCTTTTCTATGGGATAGTATTCAATTTTGATGATTCCTTAGTCCCACGGAAAAGAAGACAGATGTAGTCCTTAGTTTTTCTTATTTGCTATGAATACTCAGATCGGTCATTCTTCCATAGAATGACATCAGGATCCCTACACTAGTTCTTGCTAGCCTGGCTGGCTGGTTGCTGTGCCGGAAGAGCTACAGCACCTCCACTTTCAGCAAGCCTTGCCACTAATCACAGGCTGAATCCCAGAATCTCTCACAGTTGCTCTCAGTGCTTTCACCCATAGCATCTACTTTCCACAAATGTCCACATCTATACCCCAGCATTTTTGGTTGTGTAAAGAAGTGAGGTTTAAATCTTCATCACTAGCAGAACCTTTCACTCAATCCCTGACATAATCCCAGTTACAGAGAAATGGATAAGAACATGGAATATCGATTCAGACTACTTGTGTTCATATCCTGCATCTATTACTTACTAAGTCATTGACTTTAGACAAAATCTTGACCTCTTCAAGCCCCATTTTCCTCATCTACAAAATGGAGCATCCACTATTATAAAAGTAGATTAAACAGAATAATATTTCTAAAATTGCTACAACAATGCTTGTTAGTATAATAATAAATACAGTATAGTAAATATATAAGGTTATATAGTAAAATATAATCAGTTCTATATACTGTACTTAATAGGTACAATTTTTCTGCCTAGGTCACACTCTACTTTGACATTAAGCTAATCAGAGCCTCTTTAATTGCTAAGGCTTTCATAAAATTCACCTGGATAGGGGTCCATTTTCAGGGTAACCCTGAAGTACACTAAATATGCTAATCTCCTCAAAATACCCTACCCTGACATGGGTGAGAAGAGCCAAGACCAATGTTTCTCAAGAGTGGTCCACAGACAATTTGCATCAAATCTTTATAGACAGGGTTATGGTATAAAGGTATTTCTTAGGCTGTCCCTGTGATTTTAATGTACAGGAAAGTTTGTGAACTACTACTCTACACTCGCCATGCATTTTATATATGGTTGCCTCTTCCTGTAATGTCTATTTCCCCCACCTCTACCTGTGAAAATAGGATGTAGGCTCCATGCAGCTTTCCGTAATTTCATGTTTACCACAAGCGGCAGATGCAAACTTTCTGTTACCATGGGATAAATAAAATGAGGAGGAATCAGAACTGGGGTGCAGGAGAGAGTATTGGGGAGCAATGGAATGCAGCACCTGTCCTGGAGTGGTAGGAAGGACTCATGGTTTGTACTTGGAATTTGTGCACTTGAGGTGACATTGCAAAAAAGGGTGGGGGAAGGTGGGAGAAAATCAGCAAACAGGGCAGGGGGGAGAGGAAGGGAAGAGGAAACAGTAACAAAATAGCTCCCATGGGCTCCCCTGGTTGATCAGAAAAGTAAAGCATCTCTCCATGCACCCACCCCCATGCAGCAGGAGGAGGGGCGAGTGAGCAGAGTAGGTATTAACCATCAGACTTGCCTTGCAAGACCTTTTCACTTGTAACTGAGAATTCCTGGGTAGGAACCTGCCACTGGATTGGCTGCCCTGAAGAAGACCAGCAAGGTATGAAAGAAACATGGAACTCCTGAGACCAAGCCAGTGCCCTTACACTTTCATGATTGTGTCCCCTGTGATTGCCTTCTTCTGGAAAGTGCTTTACCTTCATCTCTGCCTGTGAAAAATCTTGCCAGTCCCTCAGGACCTCAGCCCAAGGCCCCAGGGGAATAAATGCCCAGGCACCTGAGCCTCTGGGACCTAGAGTGGGGACAGAACCTAGAAGCAGCAAGGGAGATGGTCCACCCTCAAACTCTTCCTCTCCACCTCCTTAGAGCTCTGAGTTACAAGGGAAGCCAGCACCTCAAAGCAACCTCTTCCCATTAAGGGCAGCCCAACAGGTTATCAAGGCTCTGCCTGACCAAAGGGGTCCCAGACATCACTCAAGTCAGAAAGTGGGGCCCAGGGATCTGTATTTGGAACGCATCCTTCAGGACACGCTAGTAAGGGAGCTCAGATACTTCAGTTTGCAGTGGAAAAAAAATTATATATAAATACTGTTTTTAAACTGTTTTAAGACATCAGTAGAGGAGCTGAGAAAAAAAGCTGCTGCAGAAAGTATCTAAGTGTGTGTGTGTGGGGGGGGGGGGCAGGGGGCCTCCCTGCAGCTGCCAACCCCCATCCCACACTAAGTTCAAGAGGTCTAATCTTAACCAAGTGTCTCCCAGGCTGCAAGCACACGTTTGTTTCTTTTTCAGGCAATTGCCTGAGCTCCTTTTAGCCTCCTGCTTGAGGTTTCAACTTTGTATTTAAGTAAGGATTTTAAAAAGGCTGGTTGGCTGTTGTCCTGAAAGTAGCGAAATATCCCTTGTCTCTTAGTGGGGGTTCAGGACAGGCGCACAAGGCAATCTTGGCTTCATGGCTCTTGGGCCCTCAGTACATCCCCTGCCCAAGAATCCCCCCACCACCACCCTCTGTGCCTGACTTGCGCTCCCTCCCACCGCGCCAGCCAGTTCTTTGCTCCCGCCCTCCTCCCCCCACCTCCCGCTGCCTCTGCTCCCTCCCACCCGAAACCCCGCTTAGTCCTAGTCCCACATCAACTGCACTCTGGCCGCACTTCCCGCCTTCCTCTAGCACCGCGCCACCGCTCACACCACCGCGTTCCTCCCCGACCTCGCGGTCCTGGTTTTCCTTCCCCAGCGCCGCGCCCTGGACTCGGTAGGCTCCACGACCCGCGGTCGCCCCTGACTCCTGGCCCTAGAGAGTTCGTGTGTCTGGCTGACTTGGAGGTTACTCCTTCCCCGCCGCCGCTACCGCTGCCGCAGCACCCCAGCCTCCATCACCTTCACCACTCGCCGGCCGCCCACCATGGCCACGGAGCAAACAGGTAGCAGGAAGCGGAAAGCGCCCGCCATCGAGGGGGCCGCGGCGAGCTCGTCGTCCCAGGGCTTGGTGGCGGCGGCTGGAGGGGGCCCGCTGCTGCTGCCCAAGAAGCGGAAGCGGCCGGTCACGCGGCGCTCGCTGGTGCCCTACCTGATGGGCCGCGAGGTGGGCGCGCGGGGCCGCGCGGGGTTCGGGAGCTTCGAGGGCAGACTGCGCGGCTACGCGGTGCACAAGCTGCCCGAGCTGCTGCGGGAGCGCGAGCTGGCCCTGGGCACCCTCAACAAGGTGTTCGCGTCGCAGTGGCTGAACGCCAGGCAGGTGGTGTGCGGCACCAAGTGCAACACGCTCTTCGTGGTGGACGTGCAGTCGGGCCAGATCACGCGCATCCCGCTCATGCAGGACCGGGGACCCGAGCCGCCTCGGGCCCAGCCAAGCTGTGGCATCCACGCCATCGAGCTGAATCCCTCCCAGACGCTTCTGGCCACTGGGGGCGAGAACCCCAACAGCCTGGCTGTCTACCAGCTGCCCACCCTGGACCCCGTGTGCCTGGGCGACCGCCACGGCCACAGGGACTGGATCTTCGCCATCGCCTGGATGAGCGACACTGTGGCTGTGAGCGGGTCCCGCGATGGCACTGTGGCTTTGTGGCGAATGGATCCCTACAGGGTCAATGGCAGCAAAGCCTGGCACAATGATGAAGAGCTCCCCGTGTACGCCCACATCCGTCCGAGGGACATGGAGACCATCCCCAGGTCCAGCACCAACCCCAGTAACCGAAAGGTGCGGGCCCTGGCCTTTAATCACAAGAACCAGGAGCTGGGATCAGTGTCCCTAGACGGCTACTTCCACCTGTGGAAAGCCCGCAGCACCCTGTCCAGGCTGCTGACCATCAGGCTGCCCTACTGCAGAGAGAACGTGTGCCTGACCTACTGCGACGAGTTGTCCCTCTATGCGGTGGGCTCTCAGTCCCACGTCTCCTTTCTGGATCTGCGCCATGGTCACCAGAACATCAGGCCCCTGTGTTCCCGAGAGGGCGGCACTGGTGTGCGCTCGCTGAGCTTCTACCAGCACATCATCACTGTGGGCACAGGCCATGGCTCCCTGCTCTTCTATGACACCCGTGCCCAGAAGTTCCTGGAGGAGAGGACATCACCCAACCTGGACTCCTCCCCAGAGCCCTCAGGGAGGAAGCTCAGGCTCACGTGTGGCAGAGGCTGGCTCAATCACAATGATTTGTGGGTGAACTACTTCGGTGGCATGAATGAGTTCCCCAATGCTCTCTACACCCACTGCTACAACTGGCCTGAGATGAAGCTCTTTGTGGCTGGGGGGCCTCTCCCTTCAGGCCTCCACGGGAACTATGCAGGCCTCTGGAGCTAAGGATGGCCACTGTGTTCTCCAAGTGCCCAGATTTTCCCTCTCATGTTCCTTTGTCAGGCTGTGTTTGTGCTATTAACTATATGTGGCTTTTGTCCTCCACTTGAAACTGCCCAGCTTACCTGTGCTTAGTGTATTAAGCAGAGAGGGGTGGGGGAGAGGGAGAGAGAGCTGTCCTTCAGGCAATCAAAACTTGGCTTTAATACTTTTCAACAACCATTTAACACAATCATTTTTAATTCTTATACCAAGATTTTGGGCAAATTCTTAGCTGTGTCCTCTCTTTAAGTTATTTATAAATTCTCTCTAATGCCATGTAGTCAGTTTTACAATTGTGTGTTTTTTTCTTTGTTATTACTATTACATTAATACTGTTTCTGGTTATTTTTTCATTTCAAATAGACTGTAATATTAAGAACATTTTTAATTGGGTTAGTACATCTGTTCTGGAAAGCTAGCCATAGTTTTATAGCACTTTTCCAATTGGAAACTACATTCCAAGTTCTTCATTATCAACTTTTGGAAACATTCCATTTGCAAATTGTAGTCTTAGGGTTTATAGTTTGTAAATTGGTGCTAAACGTGCTTTTTAACAAAGTTTATTCTCTTTGAAAAAAAGAACTGTCCTACAATCTTGTTTTTGTAGCAAAATCTGAATTGGTCAGAACACTTCAGGAATGCAAGGGTTTTGCTGATTGGATTTAAAGAATTAAGCTAAAAACCTAATCAATCTTTTTTTCTTCAACCCTTACTTAAGTTTTTATGACCTGTTGTAAAATAGATAAATGACAGTGTATTTTTTCACTTCTTGCCTTAGTACTGTCAAAAATTGTGAATATATTTGAATGCTTGTTGTTTAAAGAACTTGCATAGACTTTCAGTGTCATCATTCAAAGCAGGGATTGTAAGTGTAAAATTGTAGGCTGGGAAGAATGTATACTGATCCAGGTTATAGACTGGATAATTTTTCTGTTGCTATTTTTAATACCAAATATTATATTCAAGCATACTTTAAATTTTCCAATTATGCTTAGCAGTTAAGTCCCAAGAAAAAAAAATGCAAAGAAGAAATATAAGCTTAATCCCTACTCCTTTTGAAAATATTCTTAATTTGTGAAGTCCAAATTAATGTTATTTTGTGAATTTCAAAGATTCTTATGTAAAGTAGAATAAATATATTGGTAAAAAGTAGTGATGTTATAACCCTCATGTAATAACATACGGTTTTCAAGGGCACAAGACATTTGTTTCAAGAACTTGAGCTGGTGATTAAATATAAGTGGAATTACATTGAAGAAAAGTACTTTGGGGCTCAGATAAATACAAATTGTGGCTTGTTAGGAAATCAGGTTGTACTGCTCTCTTTGAGAAAATACTGGAAGTGAGAAGGGAGATTGGACCTTCCTCAAACCTGGCCAGGTTTTGCTGACCTAGGATTAGTATTGTGGCGTCTGTTTTTCCTTAAAAGTTTTGACACTCAGATGCTGCCTTGGTGTCGATGTACTACATGCTGTTCAGTTGCAAATCTGAACCAAATAATATAATGATCTGTACTGAAAGTGAGTTTAGAAATACAGAAAAAAAAAGCTTTTGTTTACAGAGATTGTTTGAACAAGTTTATAAAGTTGTTATATTAGCAGTGAGATGTATTTGTGTGCATGTATGTGTCTCCAATTCAGTTGCATATGTCTTGAGAGCAGAGACTATAACTGTCATCTTTATATTCTCTCATTTCTCCACTAATGTCTAGCAAATCATTGGCCATCAGTAAATATTTACTGAACGAGTGTGTTTTTTCTCTGGAGATTTAAAGTTCAAGGCTATTAAAAAAGTAAGTGCATACATACATATATAAATAAATAAATAAAATTGACTTTTAAATAGTATGGAATCCTGTTGTGCTCCCCCTCTTTTTTTGTTTTCTTAAATTTGCCCTAATTTATTTCCAGGTCTGCCCATAGTGTTTATAAACTCCCCCATTTGTGATACCAGAAGATAAAGGAACACGTATAAATTATAATGGCAGTGGAATTTAATATTTTCACTTGCAAATACTTAGATTTGAAGACTTTTAAATGTTTTTTTTTCATAAATTAGTTTTTTTAACTTTACTTTTATTGTTGACACTATTACAGATGTCCCCATCCCGCCCTTTGCCCACCTCCACCAAGCCCCCACCCCCTTCCCTCTCACAACACCACACAGTAGTCTGTGTCTATGGGTTTTGCATATATGTTCTTTGGCTAATCTCTTCACCTTCTTTCATTTAATTCCCTCTCCCCTTCAACAGCTGTCAATCTGTTCTTGTATCCATGCCTTTGCTTCTATTTTGTTTGTCAGTTTAGATTCCACATAAAAGTGAGTATCTCTACTCTAGTTTGTTCTCTGGCTTGGCCCTTTATTACTGACTCACTCTTAAATTTCTCATAATTTTAATGCTAAATCACATGCTTTACCTTTAAAAAAAAACTAAGTAGCATAAATATGTATGTATTTGTATTATGTAGAAACTTAATTATTTTGAAATATTTTCTAGTCCAGAGATAAAGTGAGCTACAGAAGTACTATGAATTGTGTAACCTGTGAGTGTGAAATAATTGAAAATGTAACCTTGCCAGCACTCTAGGAAACCCATAAATATAATTCACTTAAAATACACAAGGGAAAGCATATCTTTAGGTATAAATTATCTATCACTGTTGCCTGAAAAAGCTTAGTTGCTTATAACTATGCATAAAAAAATGTTAGTTGCCTCTATCTCTAACTACATATTCGCATATTCCTCCCCAAGTATATTGCTGACTCAAAAGTTTATGTTACTCTCCTTTACTCTTTGGATTCATTTCTGTCTTTTGTTGTTTTTTTTTCCAAAGAGGGAAGAAAGAATTTACTAATCAAGGATGTCCACTGAAATAGATTGAGATGACTCCTCTGGAAAAAATTCATCTGTTAAATATACTCTAGCATTGATGATAAACAAAATACAATCCTCTAGAGGTTGACTTGTATCTGGCTGCACTCAGTGTTGAGCAAGTTGTCAAAATTTTCCATTAGTTGCTAATTTAGAGTGATTTTAGAAAGCAATTCACAAAGCCTTTCCAGATGTTTTACTGACAGCTTCCTAATCTCTGCAAGTCTTGGGTAACCTAAATACATTAAATAAGCCACTATGTGAGCTGCTCCAGGATGCAATTCAGTGAGAACAACATGTACTAATGTGAACAAAAGGCTACATAGATCACAGGTGTTTGCTTTAAGGGATGTTATTTTAAGATGTGCTCAAAGGCCTGCCTAAAAGTATTTAGCACTTCTGGCCTGCTGCAAATCCAGAGGCATCTACATTGGAGTGTGGCATCAGTGTAACCATGTGGTTACAGGGGGTTGCCATGAAAGTCAGACTCATCCTCAAGGAGCGCTCTTTAACTGCTATGTGATTTTTGCATAGACAATGGTCTTGACTTCCCTCTACCACCTTTTTATTTAAACTCTCGGTGACATCCCAGACAGAATAAGCACTTAACTTTTTCATGTTTCTATAGTGAATGTTTTGTTATCTTTTTTATATTTTTATTATTATTGCTCTTTTAGAGAGAGAGAAAAGGAGGGGGATAGAGAATAGAAACATCAATGAGAGAGAAACATCATCGATTGATCAGCTGCCTCCTGCATGCCCCCCAAAGGGGATACAGCTTGCAACCCAGGCATGTGCCCTGACCAGGAATCAAACCAGCAGCTTCTTGGTTCCTGGGTTGATGCTATACCAGCCGGGCGTTGTTATTTTTATTACAGCATTTATCAAACTGTAATGAAGTTAACTATGGGAATATCTAATCCCCTCCCCCATTTGAATGTGAGCTGTCATCCGGACACCTAGCACAATAGGCTGCATACATAAGGCACTGGGAAGTCCAGTTCAATGACTAATAACTCCTTGAAATCAATTACTTTATCAGATGAGTTGAGCAGAACATTGGGAAATGTAATAAGGATTAGAAAGATGGATGAAGAATATACTGAAACAGGCCCCATGGCAGTGATAATGGCAATTCATTGCATGGAAAAATGTGGGTAGGCAGCAGAAACTTTGATTACGTAACAGTTTTATAAACAGCTGATACTGGATCTGGGACATCAAGATGAAATGGTATAAATATTATTTTAGAATAAGAAAAACCTAGCTCCATTATTTACTTACTGAGTAGTCATCAGTGTGTTGTTTAACTTCTCTAAACCTCACCTTATGTTACTGATTGTTCTGTCTACAGCATCTAGTATATTACCTGACCTATATTACTTGATTATTACAGTTTTACATGGAAATTTTTATGTCCATTGTGGAAAGTTACACATACAGAAAAGTGAAATATAAGAAAACAAAAAGGCCTAATTCTGCCAGCTAGACATTACTAATATTAACAATTTGGTGTATATCATTTTATATATATATATATATATATATAGTATATAGTATATATGTACATATACTATATATATTGCAATTAGTATATATGTACATATACTATATATATATTGCAATTGTTTCTACAATTGTTCTGTAATCTGATTTTATCAATTAATAATTCCATCTTTCCATGGCAATAAATATTCATATTACTCATATTACTAATATTCAGGATATTTTTAATGTGCACGGGTTGAAACTTTACATAGATTGTTTGATGCACAACTCCAGCAGTTGTTCCCATTACATAAATCATTAGAATGACATACCAGACATTTAACCCAATATAAGATTGCATACTTACTCAAACCTCAGAAGTTAATCTTGAACTAATTATGTAGTGGTATCTCTGTGTAGATGATTGCTGAATTCAGTGATTTTCAGACATTTGAATACATCAGAGTCACTTGCACATATTTTAAAAGTGAGATATGCTCAAGTCTCAACTCAGACATTCTGAAACCGAATACCCTTGTGAAAACACCATTTTATTTCAATGTTTTCAAATTAATCTCTTCAAAAACAAAATGTAGCAGTAACC